GCAAAAAACTAGGCACCGCACGAAAGTGGACCACACCGGACTTACTAGACTTTCTGGGCGACTATTGCCTTGACACCACGAGGACTGTTCCTGCCATAGGTCAGGTACGCAGTGAGTGCATTCAGAATCGCACCAGCCTGAGGTGTGTTGGGATGGGGGTTGTTTCGTGGCGCATCTTGCTAGTCTTTTGTCCGGCCGAGGGGGATAGGGCGTTTGGGGAGGGTTTTTTTTGGGCAAGGCAGGGCGAGAGGGAGAGGGAGAGCGAGAGCGAGAGCTTGGGTCGGAGTGGAATTGATACGTCCCACTCCCCATTCTTCCTTGTAAAATCCATTTTCAAATCAAACGCATCTCCCCACCACCACCACTTCTACTCGAAAGAAAGAGACACGCATCCCATCCCATCATCCCATCACGCCAATTTTTTTTAATTCATTTTTAAATTTTTTAATTTTTACAAATTTTTTTTTGCGCCTTGCTCGGAAATTACAACATCATCTCCCATGTTAACAAAGTCCATTCATTTCCACCCTGCCCTCTCCCATGCCCATTCTCCTATCCACTCGCAGTCGGTACATCGACTTCCACATGGCCACGTATCCATGTATTTTATGCAGCACAGGCACGCGAAAGCAAGGATTCTGGAATCAGGGGGGGTTTAATAGTAGATTTGGGGGTTTGGAGACTTGGGGGACGTTGGGTATTGGGTATTGGGTATTGGGTATTACATACTACATATTGCGTATTACATACTACATACTGCGTATTACATACTGCGTATTACATATTACATATTACATACCGCATACGGCATATAAAGACTAAATATATATACATTGAGGCCAATTAGGTGCACTTCACTTGTATATACAGGCCAGCCCGGGCCAGATCAGACAGGACCAGACAAGGTCTAGGTATCGTGTGTAATGCAAAGCAGAGCAGTCATGCCATGTGAAGATCAACTGCGCGTTCTGCTGGTGTGGATGTAGATGTAGATGTGGATATAGATGTGGATATAGATGCTAAACGCCAATACAATGCCAAACGCCAACGCTAATGCTGATTCCGCTTGGAAACGAGAAACGAAACGAGAAACGAGAGACAAGACCTGCTGAGCCGTGCTGTGTGAGTTTGCATGTCCCATGTTCGTGTATATATATACATGTAAATGTGAATGTGTCTGGATATGCAATGATTTATCCCTTGAGAGCAGAGAGCGCGTTTCGTCATGTTGAAGCGCATGCCATGGGTTCTGGGATTATTGTATTAGGATGGGGATAGCATGATATAGTGAAGTGTCGTGTTCGCTTTAATTCCGTTTGATTTCGTTTCGATTAGATTCGTCGCGGCTGTGTTCGGTCGACTCGCCATATGGTAGCTTCACCAAGAAAACGCCCTGCAATCAATAATCGTCGTAATCCACGTTGCCGAATCCTTCATCATCGTCGTCGAGGTATTGATGCTCGAGATCTTCTTCCTCCTCCTCCTCCTGCTGTTCTTGTTCGTCGTAGTCGTCTTCGGCCTCGGCTGCTGCATTCGCATTGGTCTGGTGTGTAGCAGGTGGCGGGCTGTTCGTGGCGTCAGAGGCAGCTGGGCTGGCGCCTTGGCCGCTGCCCGACGGCGTACTCGTCGTGTCACCGCCTGGAAAGAGTTCCTTGAGACGGTCGTAGTTGATGTGGTTGCTAAACTGCTTGGCGCGCTTCTTGAGCATCCTGTGGGCAGCCTCGGCGGCGCTGGCAGCGGGTTGGCCTTCGAGGAGGCTGCCGTCGCCCATTTGGTGGTGTTTGCGTTTCTGCTTTGGCTTCTTGGGCTTGTCTTCTGCGGCCTCGAGTTCGGCGTCCAGGATTTTCTTCTGCTGATCGCGAAGCCACTCTTCGTTTTCCGTGATCCAGATGGCTTCCTTGCGACGGACCTCTTCAGGTCCAAGAATGCAATTTGCAACGTCCGGGTCGTTGTCAAACTCGTCTTCGCCAATGTCGGGGGACAGGTTCACGGGAACGTCGCGGGTGTCGGTGCGCATGCGCGTCAATTCGCTCGCTGTCCAGCCCGTGCGTTGCAACAGTTCGTGATTTTCGTTTTGGGCGCATTCTTTGAAAATACTCTCCCAGTCTTTGATGGTGTGGGTGACTTCCTCTTCCAGATCCTGTTTGATTTCGAAGATCTGCGGGCGAAATCTCAATAAGCATTCGTTCGTTCGGGGGGCGACCACGCTTCGTGGGGATGACCAAGTCGGGATCACCGGCTTGGATCTCCTCTGCTTCCTCAAACGCCGTGGCGACGGTATCAATGACAGTCTCGGCATTTCCATCCAACACATCCTCCGCGGCAGCAGGATCTGTACCTTCTTGTGTTGCAGGCGGTGTAGCGATTGCTTGAGAAGTCCCCTTGTCTAATTTACGTCTCTTGCTCGTCCTTGACGGCGCTGTGCTGGGGCCAGCTTCCCCTTGGCTGGGATGCGGCGACTGCTCGTCCACTGCAGAGTTGGCCTCTCCGTCCTCGTCGTCTTCCGAGGTGGACGATTGTGTCGCCTTCCTCTTCGCCCTGCGCTCCTCTCTCTCTGCGCGCCTCCAGATGGCGGGTGGTAGTGTCTTGACCTTGAGCTGCTGGCCCATCTCGCGAAACTGCTTGACGGTCAAGGCGGAGCTGGGCGTCTTCTTGTACTCGTACAAGCGCGAGTTGATGGTGGAGTCGGCCACTTTGACCACGTAGACGACTTCACGAACGGTGCGGCGGAAGTTGTTCATGCGGGCAGCGAGAATGATGCAGGCACCACAGAGGCCGGCGGGTTGGCGACCTTGAACCATCCAGTCGCGGCCCATGCGCCTGAGCAGCTTGCAGGCGTCGTCGGCGACCTTGTGCGAGGCCTCGGCAAACTCGAGCTTGCGGCAGTACTTGAGCATCAGCGGCTCAATCTCCTGGACAGCCTTGTTGCCGGAGAGGGTGGCGGGGTCGTCCTCGCCCAGTTTCTTCAGAAAGGCCTTGTAGGTGTCGCCCAGGGCCCAGACGTTGGTCTGCGTCTTCTCGGCCAGGTCCATGAGCAGCAGCGTGTTCTCGGGCTGGCGCCGGGCGGCCATGTAGATGGCAACAGCGGCGACGTTGCGTATGCGACGACCCTGGATGAAGTTGTGGTTCATCGCGAGCTTGTACCAGCCCACGGCCTGGTCAATGACCGTCTGGCGCTGCTGCAGCGACCGGCCCAGCGAATCAATGGCCGTGCGGGCCAACATGACGGCCTGCTCTCTGCTCTCCATGCCGCCGAGCCCGCGCATGGTGCCGCCCATGGAGTTGGCGTGCCGCTGCTGGTCGCCGATGAAGCCTCCCTCGACAATGGCCGCCCCACCGGCCGTCTCGCCAAAGGTGACTTCGGCCACGATGGAGCTCTCCTGGAGGACGGTGCCGCAGGTGAAGCAAAAGGTGCTGCCGTCGTCTTCTTCCATGGCTTGCGGGTTGTCGCAGCACTTTGGGCGGTTGCGTACGCGTGGCGGGGGCGCGGGCATGGCCTTTCGTTTCGTCGTGATGGACTGGTAGGGATCGGGCTTCTTGGACGAATTGAGGCCGCCGAGGCGTTCGCGTGGAGGCCTCGGACGGGCGACCTGGGGGGCCGACATGTTTGGGGATGTGGAGGCGGGTCGAGGGTGGACGGGGTGACTATTTACTCCGGGCTGTGCGTGCGTGTATATGTGCGATCATGTGTGCGTGCATGTGTGCGTGCATGTGTGCGTGCATGTGTGCGTGCATGTGTGCGTGCATGTGTGCGTGTATCGTGGCGCTGGTGATATTCCTCCCACTTTACTGTAGAGGAGAGAGAGAGAGAGAGAGAGAGAGAGAGAGAGAAAGAGGGAAGAAAGTCGGGCAAAAGTAAAGCCAGTGTCCGTTCGATTCGGGAGAAGAGAGCGAGCGGGGCATGGTCTGCCTACTCGATTGCGCCTTGCCGCTTTCGGCGTGGGTGAGCTCTGCACCTCCGTGTACGCGCACTCGAAAGCTGGCAGCCCAGGAGATGGCACAAAACATCGTCCATGGCAAGGAAAGGGAACATGTTGGAAAACCATTGGCTTGTTCGTGGGGTCGTGTCTCAGACTCTTCTTCTGCCTAAGATTCTACTCGAGAACAATGCACTGCAAGACTGCACACTCCTTTGCCTCTTACCCAAACGAACAGCTTCCTCCCATTCTCTAGTCTATGGAATAGGTAAGTTGGCACATGTATGCACGCCAAAAAGACTACGCAGAGACTACTGTTACTACTACTACTGCTACTACTACTACTGCAACTACTACTACTACTACTGCTGCTGCTGCTACTACTGCTACTACTGCTACTACTACTGCTGCTGCTGCTACTACTGCTACTACTGCTACTACTACTGCTGCTGCTGCTACTACTGCTACTACTGCTACTACTACTGCTGCTGCTGCTACTACTGCTACTACTGCTACTACTGCTACTACATGCTACCACGCACTCAGGCCAAACGACTTGCTCTCCCTTGCTTGCCCCCCTTGATGCGTTTGCGGTACCTGCAGTAGACCGACGAGGAACACCATGGCCAGAAACCTCCCAAGCTTGTGTAGAGAGACGGTCCACAGTCCCCAACGATTGGCTGACTGACCTTCACTCACCAGTTCCCCCGCGCCCCCCGGCCCCCGGTGCGCAACTCCATCAAGCTACTGCCCTGGCTTCCCAGCCCCAGCCTCCCTGTGCGAGCGAAAGGATTTTCCCATTCAAGTCCGGGACC